CTGGCCCCAGACTTTGCCTCCCAAGCCTCCAGCCCCCCTCCCTCCTTCCCCACCTGCCCTTCCCCTCTGCACACCCCTTCCCAGCCCCCCTCCCTCCTCTGCCCCCTCCTCCCAGCTCTCCTCTCACCCCCCCCCACCAGCTCACCCCCGCGGGCGGGGCGGCGCGGAAGGCGCTGGGGCTGCAGACTGTCTGCTCCTGCAAGCGGCGGACGTCGCCGGGACTCTCGAAGGGATTCTCCACGCGGCCGGGAGTCTCGGGCGGCGCCCGCCGCTGCATCCCGGCTCCTCCGCTCAGCCTCTCCGGCGGGGCCGTCGTGCGCCGGGGCAGCCGACCTGCCAACCAACGCTTCCTGCCGCGGCGACGGCTCTTTAACTCCTCTGCGGGCGCTGGCCAATCGGCGCGCGGGAAGGGGCCTTTCCCCGCCCCCTACCGTTCGAAGCAGCCTCTCCGGGAAGAGGCGCCGCCGCATTCAAAAGGGAGCGCGCCGCCATTGGCTGGGACGGCGCTCGCCTTGCGCCCCCCCTCCTCTCTTTTCCCTCTCCTACTCCTCTCTATGGCAGCCGCGGTCGGTTTCCCCACGCCTCTCCGTTGGGCTTCCGGGGTGAAAGGGCGCGCGGGTCGGGCTTTCCGGGCCGCTGCCGTCATGGCGAGCTGCTCGTCCTCCGGCAACTTGAACGCCGTGAGGGAGACGATGGACGGTGCGTCCTTTTCGGACTGAGGGCCTCCGGGGCCAACTCTGCGAGGCGGGCCGGGGCTTAGGCGGCCGTCCCCCCCCTCCCATCCCCTCTTCCTCCGGGACCCCTCGAGGCCATGCAGACGAGCCCCGGAGCGAACTGACCACCCCTTCTCCCCGTCTTTCTCTTGCAGTGCTGATGGAGATCTCGCGGCTGCTCAACACCGGCCTGGACGCGGAGACGCTCTCCATCTGCGTGCGGCTGTGCGAGCAGGGCATCAACCCCGAGGCCTTGTCCGCCGTCATCCGGGAGCTGCGCAAGGCGTCCGAGGCCCTGAAGGTGCGGGAGGGCCCGGGAAGCCTTCCCTGCGTCGGACGGGGTGGGGCTGGCGGGGTGGGGGTCTAGGACAGGTTGCCACAGGGCGGTTGGTCACCCCTGGACCCTTTGCTGCAGGACCAGAGCCACATTAACATCCAAGAAATATTCTGGGACGGAATCATTAAAGAAAGATAGATTATATTGAGAGTAAATATGGAACTAAAACAGTGGTTCTCAACCTGTGGGTCGGGACCCCATTTGGGGTCGATTGACCATTTAATGGGGGTCGCCAAGCAAGGCTGTCCGCCATTTTTTTTTGTCTGCCATTTTTTTTGTCCGCCATTTTTTCCCCTTTTCCGGGGGGTGCCTTACCTCCCTTGGGCTGGGCCAGCTGGTGGTCGGCCTGCTCCGTCTCTGCCGCTTGCCAGCTATGCCTCAGCCGGCGCAGGGAGCAAAACCACGCATGCGCGGCGCTCCCGGGCAAGGAAAGTCCTCGACTTACAACCGGTTGGGTAGTCCTTGACTTACGACCAGTTTAGTCCTCGACTTACGACCGGTTTAGTCCTCGACTTACGACCGGTTGGGGTCGCGGCATTAAAAAGGTTGAGAACCACTGAACTAAAAAGTTTCATTTGTTTTTTGAGTAAACCTTAGTGTTAATGTAGTTTATTATTATTTATAATTAGTAATAAGATGTTATAATTATTGTGTTTAATATGTTTGTTTAAAAGAGAGTTAAAGCATGTTATAGATTTGTTAATCTAATAGTGATTAATGTTAGACAGAGTATGGTTATTGTATTGTTAACCCTGTGATTGGCTCTGNAGGTATATTGTAAAACTTTTATAAAATTTTCAATAAAAAAAAAAGAATCATTAAAGAAAGGATGCAAAACGAAAGAGGGACAGGATGAAACACGGAAGGACAAACGTTAAAACCATTTTTTAAAATTTCTTTTTAAGTAATTTGAATTCAACTTAAGTCATTGAATTTCAATTTTCCCGCGGCGGCGAGTTCTTCCCGTAGCAAGTTAGCTGTGTCGAGTTACAAGAATTAAAAAATTTTTTAAAAATTTATTTTTAAATTGTCAAACTGTGAAGTCCCGTGGCAAGTGCAGCAAACTAGCCCTGGCGAGTTACGAAAATTAAAACAATTTTATAAATTTGTTTTCGAATACTTCAATTTGAATTGTTAAATTGTGGCGAGTTACAAGAATGAAAATATGTTTTTAATTTATTTTCTAATACTTAAATTTGAATTGTTAAATTGTGGCGAGTTACAAGAGTTAAAATATGTTTTTAATTTATTTTTAAATAGTCAAATTGTGAAGCCCCACGGCAAGTGGTCTTGCAGCAAACTAGCCCTGACGAGTTACGAAAATTAAAACAATTTTTAAAATTTATTTTTAAATAATTAAATTTGAATTGTTAAATTTTGCCGTGGCAGCAAGTTGTCCCGGGGCGAGGGGCCCTGCAGCAAGTTAGCCGTAGTGAGTTACAAAAATTAAAATAATTTTTTAAATTTATTTTTAAATAATTGTATTGTTGTCCCACAATAAGGGGCCCTGCAGCAAGTTAGCCGTAGTGAGTTACAAAAATTAAAATAATTTTTTAAATTTATTTTTAAACAGTTGAATTCTTAAGTTGTCCCACTGTGATTTGTCTTGCTGCAAGTTAGCCATGGCAAGTTAGAAAAAATAAAACAATTTTTAAAATTTATTTTTAAATAATTGAATTGTTAAAATTGTCCTATGGCGAGTGGTCTTACAGTGGCTGGGGTGAGTTGTCCCATTCTGGATAGAGGGTCGTGCCCAGGTCTTTGGGGGAACATCAGGAGCCCCTCGGCAGCCTCCTTTACTGGGGAGTCAGCCCAGTCACCCCCAACCTGTCCAGCAGTGGCAAGAAAGAGAGAAAAAAATAACATTGCCTGAGGTTTCAGGTAGCTGAAAATCCGTGCAATGGAAGGGCTCCCAAAAGAAAGCATTGCACTCCAAAACAGAATAGAGTAAAAACTTTATTGTCACTTTAAATGTACGCTAATCAGCATACATTAAAATGAAATTTCATTGCATCAGCTCTCAAAAATAAAAAAAAAATTGTGCATATACCCATATTGTTGTTGTTAGTTGCGAAGTCGTGTCCGACCCATCACGACCCCATGGACAATATTCCTCCAGGCCTTCCTGTCCTCTACCATCTTCTGGAGTCCATTTAAGCTCACGCCTACTGCTTCAGTGACTCCATCCAGCCACCTCATTCTCTGTCGTCCCCTTCTTCTATTGCCCTCAATCTTTCCCAGCATCAGGCCCTTCTCCAGTGAGTCCTTCCTTCTCATTAGGTGACCAAAGTATTTGAGCTTCAACTTCAGGATCTGGCCTTCTAAAGAGCAGTCAGGGTTGATCTCCTCTAGGACTGACCGGTTTGCAGGGGACTCGCAGGAGTCTTCACCATAGTTCAAAGGCCTCAATTCTTTGGCGCTCAGCCTTTCTTATGGTCCAACTTTCACAACCATACATTGCAACTGGGAAAACCATGGCCTTGTCTATATGTACTTTTGTGGGCAGGGTGATGTCTCTGCTTTCATATATGACACAGAGAAACATCACAGTCTAGTTCAAATATATACATGTACCTGGTGGGGGAAAAAAAAGAATCCTGCAAATTTACAGGATGGGTGGCATAAGGCAGACCCCGGTCCGGGAACCAGTGCCGGGCCGCAGCATGCCAGCATGCCAGTACCGGGCCGCAGCATGCCAGCAACCGGGCCGCAAAAACATCCCATCCATGGGATGCAAGCAGTACACAAAACCACACCCCCTCCGGTCCGTGGAAAAACCTCTTTCCACGTAACTGATCCCTGGTGCTCAAAAGGTTGGAGATCTCTAGCCTAAGGAACAAAGCTGTTACAGAATCTAGTAGTTCTGCTGTAAATACTTTGAAACCTCCTCCCAGAGGGCAGCAACAGAAACAAACCGTGAAGTGCATGTGTGGGATCTCTTAACAGTGCTTCGAGCGCTAAGCACATAGGCGCAAAGATTAGGTACAAAGACAGTTTTCCCCTTCCCCCCATATGCCATCACTCTGCTAAACAACTAATTCCCACAAACCTGGAATTTCAAACCACCTGGTAGGGCTGTACAGGTTGTCTTCAACAGCCACAACAGAGTCCAGCATTTCTGTTGTTAAATGAAGCATTTGCTAAGGGGCTTTTGTTCCATTATATGACATTTGGGGGCACTGTTGTTAAGTGAATCACTGAAGTTGTTAAGTTAGTAACACAGTTGTTAAGTGAATCGGGCTCCCCCATTGACTTTGCTTGTCAGACGGTCGCAGCAGGTGATCATGTGACCCCAGGACACTGCAACCGCCATAACTATAATTCAGTTCCCAAGCATCTGAATTTTAATCACAAGACTGTGGGGATGCTACAACTATCACAAGTGTGAAAAACAGTTATAAGTCAGTTGTGATCATAAGTGGGATTGAGGTTTGAAAAGTTTTATTTTGGTGTTAACAGCTCTAGTCCAAGTTATGAGTACAGTAGCGGCATCTCACAAACTGTCCATGTTTACAAATTCTTTTGCGGCTGGTTCCTTCCATGTGATGGGAAGAAGGGATTTAGAATCGTTCCCCAGTAGTCTATCCTCCCTGGCCCTGCCATTCACGCACTGGATGGAAAAGTCCAAAGTAACTGGAGAGAGAGAGAGAGAGAGAGAGAGAAAGATCCCAAATTCAGATCTTTTCATTCTGTTGCAAGTTAGTGTGTTCGCCCCTCTGCTCTTCTTCTTCTTGTGCCATATCCGTTATCGGACTTTGGCGATCATGTTGGCGATCCTGTTTTTATCAGCAGCCACACGAAAAAGTGCTGCTAAGTTTTGTCCAAACCAGTCCTTTAGATTTTGAAGCCACGATGTTCTTCTTCTGCCTGGACCTCGTTTGCCTTCCATCTTTCCCTGGAGAATTAAATGGAATATGCTGTATTTTTCTGGGTGTCGCATCACATGTCCGAAATATTCTAACTTTCGTTTTTTGGCTGTTTTGATGGCTTTCCCAGGCAGCTTATCACCTCCTCATTTCTGCTCTAGGTTTTATAATTGGGAATATGGTTGGGTGCTTGGGGGTCTCTATTGGCAGCTCTTAGGAAGCACAGTTTTACTGATTGCGAGACAATCTGTAAGTCATTGATTTCCACAGTCATTTTAGATAGCCAAAACTGTTGCAATAAATGTTCAGTGTGTTGCTATTAATTTGCAATAGCTTATGAACCTACACTAGTATAATCAAAATTCTTTTTCCTAGGCTGCTGACAATATGACAAATTAAATCGAGAAGATTGTTTTTCCACTGAGATGAAGCTTCTGGGAAATAGAAGATTTTTGTTGAAGATGTTGGTTATTGGTTGTGTAAGTTTCTCACAGATGTTGTAGACGTACAGTGATTTTTAAATACCTACTAACCAACCATCTTTCAAAATGCATTTTCTATCTTTGTTGCATATGATTTAAAAGTCTTGAAATTATTTGTTAACAAACACAGAAATTGGTTTTATTGTCCCAGTTGAAACATGTGCCTCATATTTGATAAAATGTTGACTCTGTATCATTCAGATGTAGCCAATAGGCTTATCGTTAGAAGACAGACTTCTGCATGAAGGAGTTCACTGCGGTGAATTAATTTGTAAAGGTTTATTTCCTACATATTTCCAACTTGCTAGTTGTTTCACTGAAATTAAAAAAAATGATATACTGTGATAAAAAAGGCTGGTGGTCATGAAAAATAAGTTTCAGTTTCAAATTTATCCCAATTGCACCATCAACATCTGGGTAAAAAAGGAGGTTTCCGTGTTGCAGTACTGAGAATAGAGCTAGAATGAAACAATGCCTTTTGAACTAATCTATCCTGCAAACTTTATTAGCAACGTGCTTGTTGATCAAGTTTTATAATGTCGATCTTTGGGTAAGCTGTCCAAATGACTGTTGCACATTATGAAAACAGGGACAGCTTATCAAAATGTTGCAAAAGCTATCCCTGGTATTTTCTCCCGGTTTCATAGAGAAATGTACATCTAGTGAAAATGGAAAATTGCACATAAATCACAGATAGGGGAAAAATATGCTATGAAAATACCTTATTAGAGCAGGGGTCCCGAACCCCCGCACTGCGGTCCAGTGCTGGGCCACAGCCTGTTCGGAACCGGACCTCAGAAATGGCGGGCGAACGTGCACAACATGTGCAATGCTGTATTTGTGAAAGTGGTGTGCGCACATGCGTGAAACCCTCCCCTCTCCCACCCCCCGCCAGTCAGCCGAGCCGGAAAGATTGGAGACAACTGCATTAGAGCTGGTTTGATGTAGTTGAGGCACCAGACTAGGAAGTGGGAGATTATGAGTTCAAGTTCCGCCTTAGCCATGAAAGCCAGCTAATGTGACTTTGGGCCAGTCGCTCTCTTGAGTTCAACCCAGCTCACAGAGTGATGGTTGTGGGAAAGACATGAGGAGGAAGGTTGGATATGATCACCGCCTTGAGTTACTTTGTAAAATAATAAAGGGAAGATAAATAAATAAAAAATAAGATACCTTTTAATGTATTTATGAAAAAAACCATGTTTCTTTTAAAAACTTAGCATTATATTTATTTTGGCTCTTTTTTTTCCTTTTGATAACTTTTTAAATGATTTTTGTGTTGTTTTTTCTTACATTCTATTTAAAAAGCTAAATAAAAAGTGGTTGTCTCGGAGTTAAATTAATCTCTTGGATGGTGTGCTATTAATAACAACAAAACCTCCGTGTTTATCTTTCGCTGAAATAAAACAGCCTTGTTTTTTGTTCAGTGTGATGCATTTTCATGACAGAAGTCTTGCAATCTTTATGGTGTAAACACTTCAAGAACTGGAGTTTGGTTTATGGTAAATAAAGCCAGTCATTGTACAGAAACCCATGTTGTTTGCATCGTTAATGGCTGGCACAACTGTCACTGGGATTGTGTTACTTGTGTTAACTTTCTGACACCGATGAATTGATCGGTCTGATGAAAAGATGGAAGTTGCTAAGTTGCTTGCAAGTCAGCTTTGTGAGCCAAGGGGAGTTTGTATGTTGCCTGCTTCGCGTGTACGTGCGTGTTGATAAAGGCAGCTGCAGAAGAGGAAGATGCTAAAGTAAAGAAAAGGAGAAGGGGAGGTTGGAAACTCAAAAACAGTATTGTGACATTAAAAAATAGCCAAGTGAGGCTGGTCAGAGAAATAAAAAACTAAAGGAACAGTATAGTATTTTCCCACAAAAGTTTCCATCAGTTTTTCACTTTGGAAAAAGTAGATTTCCATGAAAGATTTATTTGCCTCTGATAAAGTAGGCCCAGCTATCAAGCCTCACCTTTTGATATTTCGAGGTTTTCAAAATAAAAAGCTGGCAAATTCATCCAAGGTAACTATCCTATTTGATACAAGCCTCTGAAAAACATTTGTCAGGTACTGCATTTGCTAAACTATTTTTTTTATATACACCAAAAAGTGTTCCCAGCATGTTCCACCAGATGGCAACCAACCCTTGACATCCAAGCTTAAAGAAAGGCTTTATATTATAACAATATTTTGCTGCACTAACTTTTTTGTTTTTTTTAGCACTGAATTTGTTCCAGCAGTTATTCTTCCAGACTCACGAAGGACGTGACAATAAAAGATATGAAACAGATCAGGTAATTTGAAACGTCCTGAAGAAGATAACAGTCCTACAAGGCTGAATGTCAGTGTGTTCCTTTCATCGGGAATAAGCTAAACGTTGCCTCTTTCAAGCGTTGGGTTTTCTGACATGGGCCATGATGCCAATAAGGACCCTTAAAAGTTGTGAAGGAAGTGCTCCCTGGTGATATGAGAGGTAATCTCTCCTTAGACCATCTTGCCTGCTCTAGGTCTGTTCGAGAGAGTCGTTCCTGGCTGATGCGTGGATCCTTGGAACACCATTTCGGGAGCTTCATCCTCCTTTAAATGTGTTCGGAAATAAATATGAGAAGTCAGATTAAAATTCCATATAAAGGAGAAGCAGCGATCATCCCAGAGGCCTTTCAGAACAACCAGATCACCTGGTTGATCACCTGGAACCCAAACCTTGATGGGAACTTCCTTCTTTGTCTTCTTGAGGAGGGACCCACCAACAAGAAGACTTGGCCTTAAGGTCTTGCAGTGGGTCCATAAGGATTTGCGGTAGGTCCATAAAAAATTGGGATCCACCACAAGACCTCCATACCAGACCTTGCTGGACAGGCAGATGCTGGCAAGGTAGGATGGTCTTGCAGGTACTCAGGTCCTGTGTGTCACAAAGGGCTTTAAAGAGGACAACCAGACACCCATTGTGCCTGGAAAACAACTGACAACCCATTAAAAATTCCCAGGAGTGATCAAGCCTGATTTACAGCCAATCTTGCATCAGGTTTGGGCGAGATTGAGAGTTTGCACTGTCCAGAGATTAAAACAAGTGTGGGATTTGAGGGCAAGATTCTGCTTCTTTACCCTTTCCCCGAAATCCTTAATTGTGTGTTTTCTGACCTGGCCTTCTTCGAAGATGGATACTATCCTTGCTTTCTCTTGCCTTCAGCCACCTTTGATTCCTTGCAATATGACTACCATTCCAGTGCAAATGGTATTTTTAATTTCCATCCACTTTACTGGAAATCTTCCCACCTGCTTCCAAAACAATTTATTTTCATGAAAATTAGAAAGCCATTGCCACAACATTTTCCTCTTATCACATCCTCAGTGCACAAAGGAGCACTGCCCCAATGCACAGGTAATGTGTGTATGGCGGGGGGGAAGAAACCCCCACCTTCCTTTTAAAAACTGACATGTTTTCTGGGGTAGCCAATCTTGGCTAACTAAGCATTATGACTTCAACTTCCTAGTGAGAATTAAAAGGACGCTTGTATCTCCAATTACGCTCAGGACTGGAATAGTTTTGACTGGGAGACAACATGTTGAGTATGATTGGGTGACAACCCAACGAAATGGAAGCAACCCTGTGTGCTGGCAAGAGAAAACACATCTGGATTTCTACCCATTCAATTAGCAGAACGCTTGTATTAAATTGCGAAGGGCTTTTAATAACACACCAAAAAGGTTTGCAGTATGTAAGACGTTTTTGCCCAAAGCTGCAATTAATGCTTTATTAAATTTTCAGAAAATGAATGTTCAGCTCTCCTTCGTTCCTCCTTTGCATTTTCTCCTTTAATTAATATAGGAAAATTTCATCTCCCCTTCGCCAGTCTCTTATTTACCTAAAAGGCAGGTAGTCTTATCATTCCCAATTATTGAGATTCAGTTGATTAGGAGAAATAGATAAACCAAGCAGAAAGATAGGGGACTGGATGGAGTTGAGCATTTACTGGCTGGATGCCCTTCCTGATGCCACATGGAGTTCGCAGCAATTTATTTATTTTTTCTTGGCACCCTAGGAGAGAAACATCTGTCGCTACCTAGGACTGAACTCTCAACCTCCTGAGTGGGAAGCGAGTGTCTTCACCTCTAGGGCACCACACCAGTAAACTCTCAGCTCCATCCAGTCGCCCTGACTCTACCCTGAATTAAAGGAATTACAGCAGGGGTCTTCGAACTTGGCCCTTTTATGACTTGTGGACTTCAACTCCCGTGCCTGGCTGAGGAATTCTGGGAGTTGAAGTCCACAAGTCATAAAAGGGCCAAGTTTGAAGACCCCTGGATTACAAAGGGTTGTTAAAAGGGAGTTTTTAAGCAGAAAGATAGGCCTGGTGAGGCTTTTCTGAAGAAGGTTTATCTTTTGTTTCTAACCTGAGCAGTCTTAAATTATTTCTTTTCTTAACTCACAAGTCCAGAAACTTTTGCAAGAACAACTGATAAGACCTATTACGGAGACCCCATTTACAGCATAGGAAGCATATTCATTAGAAGCATTGCTTCTTTGGAGATAATAGAGACCAAGTCCTGGTTGTCATTTGCAGCAGATCTTCTTGTGCTTATCATAGCTGGTTGGAGAAGGCATCAAAGGAACTTGTGAACTGAACATCTATAGCAGTGGTTCTCAACCTGTGGGTCGGGACCCCATTTGGGGTCGATCGACCATTTCACGGGGGTCGCCAAGCAAGGCTGTCCACCATTTTTTTTGTCCGCCATTTTTTTTCCCTTTTACGGCGGGTGCCTTACCTCCCTTGGGCTGGGCCAGCTGGTGGTCGGCCTGCTCCGTCTCTGCCGCTTGCCAGCTACACAGGGGGCGGAACCACGCATGCGCGGCGCTCCCGGGCAGGGAAAGTCCTCGACTTATGACCGGTTTAGTCCTCGACTTACGACCGGTTTAGTCCTCGACTTACGACCGGTTTAGTCCTCGACTTATGACCGGTTGGGGTCGTGGCATTAAAAAGGTTGAGAACCACTGATCTATAGTCTTCAGTTCAAGCCTGTAGTTGGAACTAGGATTTGCATGGAATAAGAAGAGCTGTAAGTGACATTCTAGCCCTTAAAACTCTCTCGTGCAAATGGAGTCTGGGATTTTTAGGGTCCGAAGATTGGGAAGACTCACAACTTCTAAAAGACCTGTTCTGATTTTCTCGAAGGCAAAGGGCTGCTCTTTCATCTTCTTCCACAGGTTGACCCACAAAAGCTTTGTTCAGGCCATTTAATTTAAGCATTCAACAGGATGATAAAAGTTGTCCGTGCTGTTCCACGGGCAGCCTCCAGCCTCAGTTATCCGATTGCCTTGGAAGACCAACTGAAAGTGCAGGACCTCCAGACACGTCATAAACAACGTATTAATCCCCTTGATTGAATTCCATTAGGCTCCAGACCAGATGAGGTTTAGGCCAGCTGAGCAGGCCGTTGCAATAAAACATAATTTGGGCTAATCTTCATGAGGAATGTCTCGGCCTCAAAGCGGACCGTCTGCTAACGCCAGCAGAAGTAATTGTGTGCAGCCTTCACGGGGATGGTTTTTCAATCCCTGCCTTTGTAAGAGTTGTGTCTTTCTTTCGGCAGGTGTCCTTTGAGCAAACAATCTGCTCCTTTGTTCCCAGCAAGGGAGAGATGTCAGTAGCATCAGGGGCCGGAGTGGGGAGGGTGCAGTTTAATGAATGGGACAGATCTGGGCTGGAATCTGTAGATTCCACGAGACAAAAAGCAACATGAAAGCAACAAAGAAGCTCAAAGGATCCCATCAGTGGATTATGTTTCTTAAGCAAGGCTAGATTGATTTGCCTCTTTCGGCCTCCTCTTCAGGAATCAGTTTTGACAATAGTATAGAAGTAACAAGGGAAGTGGGAACTTGAATAATACCCTTCAATATTAAATGGGGCACCCCTTTTGGGATGTGCCCCAAATGACAGTCCACCTATACCACTCTGTCTTCCCCTTAAAGAGTCTGCTATGACGTTGAAGGCAATCTCTCATGGTCTTCCCTCCTTCCAATTGTTGAAGGGAAAGTCTTCATCAGGGTCCAGTCCAAGCTGGGAATAAACAACATGGTGACTGCTTTAGAAAGAAGGTTGCAGTTTATTGAAGAGGAGAGCCAGACAAAAAGATGGTTCTGGAAGAAAAGAGAGACCACATGTAGTAGGGAGTGGGTTTTATACCCTCCTGGGCTTTTGTTTGGAGTTGTTTCCTGTTCCTGTTTGAGGCTTTGTATTTCCTGTGTCGTGTACTTTGACCTGAGTCTGAGCATGCCCTTTTGGTATTGGTGGGTTAATCCTATTATGTCCTGTCTTAGAGTTTGGGTGGGGTATGTAGATTTTAGGTGTCTTTCTCTTCCTAAGCTTCTAGCTGGAGGGCTCCAACCTTGCTGAATGGATTATTACATCTGCATTTCTACAGAGCTGGTTTCTGTTTGGGGGAGGGAGACTTGGGGCTATTAAGAAAAACTGGGCATGCTTTTCTGCCTCTTTGAGGAAATACAATATTCTGCCCTTTTAATATTTCCTTCT